GATTAAATACTTGACAAGGATCACTCAGGTAGTCTGAGAGTCAGGAATTAAGCCCCATTTTCTTGATTCTGAGTCAAGTTCTCTAACCACTCTGCATCTCTGCCACCAATATGGCTTTTAAAAATTATTTTTGTGGTCCTCAGCATTGTCAGACTCAGTTCCTTCTGGACTTTACTTCTCTTGACACTGCTTTACAGGAATATGCTACTCTTTGTACTCATCCTCGATGACTTACCCTAGTTTCCACCTTGTATACATGTTTTTAAAACAATTTTAAATATAAATTTATAGCTGATGAACATTATTAATCAAAAAAAGTATGCAATAGGGAATAAAAATATAAGATTTTTAAATTAAAAGATTATAGTGTAATGGGGACTGATGCAAACGAAGAGTATATCTATGCTTGGTTGAAACTAATTTCTTAGTGGAAGGGGCTAGACAGCCTGTTTCTAGGGCAGTGATGATGATATGTAATGGAAGTATCTTTGAGAAATTTGTGCAGGCATACATGTTCTATAACTAGTTCTGTTCTGCTAAGCACACGGTTAGATTAAGAGAAGCTTTTTGGATTGGCTGGATAACTAGGACTGCAGTTGTCTTCAACAGGTCACTGGCAACTAGAGACTTGGTCATTTTTCTCTCTGGTTGTTTTATTTTTTGTTAATCACTCTTTATTTGACCCCTTCATGAATGGCAGCCAATAAGAGACTGTAAAGGTAGTCTGAGCATTGTCCCTACTTAGGCTGACATGTGGTCCCATCATAATGAGCTTTGGTCCTGTTGCCTCACCATTTAATCTTTTCCATTTTGGTTAAAGTGATTGGAGGCTGATTTTGTGAGTTTTGAAATGTCAGGAGAGTGAGCATCCAGGCATCTAGACATTCCAGCATCCTATATTCTAAATTTTGCAGCCAGCTCAGTATTGATGCACTGAGAAGTAATGAATGACTTTTGGGACCTAGCCCAACAGTAGGACCCATCTGGAAGCAATGCAATAAGTAACATGAGTTTGATGAGGGCAATGCTTTTTAAGGACTAGGCTAGGTTTGAACCTATTCTTACCAGAAACTGAGGTGGGATAGGGGACAATGTGTGACCAAGGAATTAGGGGGAAATGTTTATACCTTTGGTCTTCTCCTCAAAAATAAATATACCCAAGTGGCAGCTAGGTGGTGTAGTGGATAGAGCTTCAGCCTTGGAGTCAAAAGGACCAGAGTTCAAATCTGGTCTCAGACATATAACACTTACTAGCTGTGTGACCCTGGGCAAGTCCCCGAGTGCCTCACCAAAAAGAAAAAAAAAAGAAATAAATATCCCCTTTTAAAAGCTAATTGATGTTAAGTTGTTAAGTGTAGCTAAGATACTACTCACTAACCACCTAGCATCGGGGAACACAACTGATGGGGGCTCAAGGAAAGGCATTAGAGAAGAGATACCTACTAACAGTTGGGAGAACACGATCTAGTTAAACCTGCTCTGGGAGGCTAAACACAGAGCATATTTGCTGCATTACCATTTAGCAGAGTAGAACCAATGAATCCACAAAAAACTAAAAAACACATTTGTTTTGCATCCCTTTTTCTAATTTGCCCGAAGTTTCTGACAACTATATTTTTAATTTTTTTAACTTTAGTTCTGGTTAATATGTATAGAGTTCTGGTTTTGTTGATTTTACTTTGCATTATCTCACTAAGTCCTTCTGTCTTTGTATGCCTCATATCTGTAATTTCTATAATCCCATAATGTTCTTTTACATTAATCTATGATAACTTATTTGATCATTCTCCAATAAGATATACAGGTCATGTCTGGTGTTTTGCTATGATAAGTACAAGTTATAAATATATTAAACAAATAGGTCTCTTCTCTCTTCTATGAAAAGCAATAGAATTAAGTCAAAGGTTATTAATCAGTTTTATGATTCTTGCAGTACACATGGCCATATTGCTCTTCGAAATATTTGTATTAGTCTATATATGCACTGAGTCTTACATATTAGGCAGCTAGGTGGCGCAGTGGAAAGAGCACCAGCCCTGGAGTCAGGAGTACCTGAGTTCAAATCTGGCCTCAGATACATAACACTTGCTAGTTGTGTGACTCTGGGCAAGTCACTTAAACCCAACTGCCCCGCCAAAAACAAACAAAAAAAAAGACTCTTACATATTAGATGCTACAATTCCACTCAACATATTTCTACAGACCTGCTAACAATTTTATACTTTCTTTTTTTTTGGGGGGGTGGCTATATTTGATGTTATAGTGAATGTAAGGTGGTATTTTAAGGTTGTCTTGATTACATTTCTGTGATTTGGGTGTTTGAGCATCTGTTAAAATAGCTCACAGTTCATTCTTTATTATTTAAAATCTAATTTGGCTTAAATGCACTGTATAACCATCCTGATCTCCTTAAGTTGCTCTCCCTTTTTATCCTTCTCAGAATTATTTCTGTTTCTGTTTTCAAAATTTCATTCTTGAGAGCTTTCTACCTTTTGGACTAGCTTCCTCTGCAAAATCTTACAGTCCTAGTTATTTTTTCTCTGAACCTTTTGAAATCTTTTCTAAAATCTAAGATTTATGCCAGACTACACTAACCTTTCCTTTCTTCAATAGCTTGTTCTTAGGGTTCCTATCATTTCTACCTTAGCCATTAGTTCCTCCTTGATGGTCAGACTCAGTCCAAAATAACTTATTACCTATTCTACCTTTTGAAGGAAGAAATTATCATCAGGCTTGTAATTTGTCAGTTGCTTTGCTTCTGGTAAAAAGAGAAAGTTCCAGCACATATTCAGGTAGTTGAAATCCCCTGTCACTAAAATGCCAGGCTTCCAAACTACATTTGTGATCTGTTTCCCAAATTGCTCATTTTGGTCAAAGAGTAGCACACAAAGATAATATCATTTGTTTTTCCTTCCTCTGATTCTCACCCAAATATTCTCCATGTTTTCCTGTTTTGGGTTCCTGATCTCCACGTGAGTATGTCTTGTTTAAAAAAAAAAAGACTAGTCAAAGAAATGTTACTTCACACCCCTTTGCTTTTTAACTTACTCTGTTTATTTTCAATGAGGTTTACCTTTTCAGAGTAATAGACCAGTTACAAATCTTATTCAACCAAGTCTCTGATATTTGTGAGGTCAAGTTCTTTTCCACATTAGGACCTCTGGTTTGTTCTTTTTAATTACATATACTTTGTGAATATATAAAATGACATCTGAATCCATGGGCTTTACTGATGACTCTAATCTTGCATACTTTCTTCTGTAAACTACTAGTTCTCTCTTCTGCTATTCTTCTCATCTTTGATGTGATATGCTCTATGGCAACAGACTTGATGTATGTATGTGATCCCTCTTGATTAGATTTTTAAGCCTCTAGATAAATGTTTTTATCAGACTGCTAAATACACTCTATCCCTGGCCACCATTCCTATGTTGTTAAGCGATAGTATAGAAATTCAAATCCTGTTGTAAGACACAATCTGTTATTAATTTCCTAAATCAGCCTTTTTCTTTTGACTCTCCTATGCTCAATCAGCATTAATAATGAAAATATCATTTATATTCATAAAGTATTCTGTTTTTTCTCAGAACTTCATGATTTTTATCAACATTTTCCAGATTCTTTTTGATAGTATCCTTTTTTCCCTTTGGGAATCACTGGAAATAGGTAGTATACATGAGATAGTAAAACATTCCACTGTTTAACTCAATTTGACAAATAGCCCTCATCAGGAAGTAATCAACCACAGCTACTTGTGTCTTTTTTCTCCAAGTCTTCCTGAATTTTCTCTCACTTCCTAATACTTATGGACTGAAGCTCAAGGAGATGTATCATCCCTAGTATATAGTCTGATGTCCCCCTCTACAGAAAGAGCCTCAAATCTATTACTTAGTTCCAAACACTGACAGGCCATTCTTCTTTTCCTTCTTTCTTTGTCACAATCTCCTACCCCCCAACTTTCTGAGATTGTCAAAAAGTTCTTTCTTCCTCTTCATATACCTTTTCTTATTTCCTCCTTGAAGCATTTCTTCCATTCATCTTTGCAACATTTCATTATTCCTGATATCCTAGAAGACAGATTGTATTCCTTTAACCCTTTCACTTTTTAAAAATACTGGGCATTTTGTACATAAGCAGATGTTACTTGGTACTAGAAGAAAGAAAAACGCAGCATACTCTGCTGGTCAATGCAAAATTCTCTTTGCCTGTAATATTTGCTTGAATAGAGATCTGCAGTCCTGTCTTCTTTCTGGAAGCTCTTTTAGTTAATCTTTATGGTCACTGCTGTAACAAACTACCTGCTTACCATATCTGCTGCACTCAGACTCTGAGGGCTCCAAATAAGACTTCAAGGCAGACTTACTCCCCTTTCTAATGATCCAAATTCCTTAGCCGTGTGTTTAAGACCCTCTATAACCTGGATAACTTTTCCTTTCTGATCTTAGCACTTACTAGTTTCCTACATAAACCCTTCATTTCAACCAAAATTAATTTACTCACTGCCCTGAGAACAGATACTGCACATTTCTTTCTAAGCCACTGTTCAAAGTGGTTTAATTGCCTAAAATATCCTTCCGTTTTTCCTAAGACTTAATTACCATTCAAAGTCCAGCTTATTTCCACATTCTCTGTAAAGTCTTCCTGAGACCATAGCAAAATGAACTTCCTAGGACTTCCCTATCTCATTCAAACCTAATTATAACTTGATTTGCGTTAGGTTTTTGTGCCTATACATTTTAGCTCCTACGATTATAGTAGAAGCTCCTTGAGGACAGACATTATAACCTGAATACCCCTCACAGCATCCAGCAGCATAAAGTATATAGCAGATGCTCAACAAATATTTGGGACCAAGAAATTGTGTGTAGCTATGAGGAAATGCTCCTTTTTCTTCTTAGATACTAAGTTAGTTATACAAAGTGATGGAGAACTTTAAAACCTCTAAAGTGTGACTTAATTTATGCTGCTAGAACTTAAGTTTTCATCTTCATAAAACTTACTGTATAAAGCAGCTCCTCTGGGGTGACTGGACTGGTAAAAATAGTACGAAGGCATCTAAGGCAAGCTTCAATGAACTTCAAATCTTGTGATAGTAATCCTGTTAATAAAAATTGGGAACATTATTCAGACAGTTTTAAGATGAATTTATTGCATTAAAAATAGAAAGATATGGGGGCAGCTAGGTGGTGCAGTGGATTGAGCACTGGTCCTAAATTCAGGAGGTCCTGAGTTCAAATCCGGCCTCAGACACATAACACTTACTAGCTGTGTGACCCTGGGCAAGTCATTTAACTCCATTGCCTCACCAAAAAAAAAAAAGAAAGAAAGATATACTAAAATAGGCTACATTAAAATTAAAGTTCAAGCTTTATATACCTTGCAGCAAGGCAGGAATAATATGGCAGTCCAGGAGAGACTTGACATTGTTTTCAGTCCCCATAGCAAGACTTCCCAACACTACGGCACATTCAGTTTTTAGCTCTGTGCTTGAAGTTTCTTGCTGAAGCAGATATAAAAGTCTAAAAAAAATTTTAAATCAAAAGACAAAACTTGAAGAACATGGAACATATTACTCATAGTTACAGATAGGTGAACAATTTATGAATAAACAAGAGACAGAGAGTATGAGGTGTAAGAATGGATAATTTTAATTACATTAAATTAAAAGTCTGTGTACAAATACAACCAATGAAGCCAAGATCAGAAGGAAAGCAGAAAAGTGGGGAAAAATTTTTATAGACAATTTCTCAGATAAAGGTCTCATATCTCAAATATATAAAGAACTTTCCCAAATCTATAAGAAAACAAGTCATTCCCTGATGAATGGTCAAAGGATATAAATGGGCAGCTTTCCAATGGAGAAATCAAAACTATGTAAAGTCATATGAAAAAAATGCCCATTTTAAATTATTACTGATTAGAGAAATGCATATTAAAACACTCAACCTATCAGACTGGCTAAAATGATAGAAGGAGAAAGTGACAAATGTTGGAGGGGATGTAAAAAAATTGGGACACTAATTCACTGTTAGTGGAACTGTGAACTAATCCAATTATCTTGGAAAGCAATTTGGAATTATACCCAAAGAGTTATAAAATTGCCTATTCTCTTTCACCCAGCAATACCATTATTAGGTCTGTTTCTCAAGATAATGGGGGAGAAAGGAAAAAAACCCTACATATTCTAAAATATTAATAGCAGTTCTCTTTGTGGTGGCAAAGAAGTGGAAATTGTGGGGATGCCTATCAAATGGGGAAAGGTTAACAAGTTGTGGTATATGATCGTGATTGAAAACTACTGTACTATATGAAATGAGGTCAATGATTTTAGAAAAACATGGAAAGACTTGCACAAAATAATGAAGAGTGAAACAAGCAGAACCAAGAGAACGTTGTATATAGTTACAGCAATATTGTTTTAAGAACAACTTGGAGTAACCAAGTCATTCTGACCATTATAAATACTCAAATTAACTACAAAGGACCTATGAAGGAAGATGCTATCTTCATCCAGAGAAAGAACTATGGTTTTACATATATACATATTTGTATCTAATGGCAGCCATCTCTAGGGTAGGGGAAAAGTTGTGTAGTAACTTTATTATATATTTAAGAGGAAAAGCAAGTTGTACATAACAGATAATGCAGTTTCATAAGCAATTCTCTTTTTTTCCTATTCTACTTTGTTACGGAAATGCTTGTTTTAGTTCTTAAGTTCAGAAAAAAATAAATATATATAAATTTAAAAAAACCCTAAAACTAAAAGACTAAGAAAGTTAAAACATAAGACTTGCTCCTTCAAGATTCAAATTAGGATTCCCCCTTTTCCCTACAGTATTGCGTTTATGTAAAACCATTCCCCTAGGGAGAGGTGCTACTGATAAATGTCACTCTGCAAAGTAAAATAGTGCCAAATTCTCTCCAAACTGAAAATCCTAATTTTAATAAATGATTTTGACAGGTAATAACTTTCAACTTTCTGGTTTCCCCATTCAAATAAACCATAAAGTCTATTAAAGAAAAGTAATTCTATGGGGCAGCTAGGTAGCCTAATGGATAGAGCTCTGGCCTTGCAGTCAGGAGGACCTGAGTTCAAATCCAGCCTCACACTTGACACTTACTAGCTGTGTGACCCTATGCAAGTCACTTAACCCTGACTGCCTCACCAAAAAGCAAAAAAACCCCCAAACAAACCAGTAATTCTAAAAAGCAAAATTCACAGTATGATCATTAATAAAGTATAATTTTTATAAATTCCAAAAATCGTATTTGGGTCCCATGTAATTATTGCTCCCAATTAGAGTAGAAATTGCTAGGATTCTAGGGATTAGGCAGAAAATAATAGTGTTAGTACAATGTATAGCCAAGTTACTTCAATTTTTGCTTATTTATCTAGGATATTATTTTACTGCTAAAGCAGTAATTTTACTAAATTTCCAGTAAAACAGGAATTAAATAAAACACTCCGAATATATCAATTATGTGATACTTTAGTTTTCAGAGGCATTTTCTTTCAGAGGCATTCCTTATATATATACACACACACACACACACACACACACACACACACACATATATTTTTTTCCTCCAAGTAACACTTTTTTAAAAAAGTCTCTTTTAGGAATTTTTTCTAAAAAAGGAAAAAATAATGCTTAGGTTGGAAAGGTCTACAATCAGAATGTATTACAAATGACAAAAAAAAGGCATTCACAAAAAACATACCTTGGAACTGCTCCTAAAACAATAAGGTTGGCTTTCTGTTTGTTGTTTCCAATTACAGCATTTTTCATGTCTCTAAATTTAAAAAGGGAAAGAGTGAATTATGTTGAAACATCACAGAAAATTTTGAAATGGTTCTACTTGTCAACAATTCCTATATCAGATTCATGTGCTAGACAAAGCATATATCTTTTTTTAAAAATCCTATCCCATTTCCAGAAAAATTATTCTCTTTGGCTAGGTGACTTAACAGAAAGGATGGGGAGGTAGTGTAGACCAAGTGGAAAAAGTTTAAGAAGCCCTGGTGTAGACAGCCCAACATAAATCTACTACTAAGACAAGAAAAAAACCTAAAAGCAGATGTCATAATGAGCTAGTGATATAAGCTTTAGTCTACTAAAGATAGTCATATTATCCATCCATCCATCCATCTATATCTATCTATCTATCTATCTATCTATCTATCTATCTATCTATCTACATATATAAACCATAAGGCACTTTAAAAAGATATAATAGAGATCATTTTAGTCAGTGGACCTATGATTATTAATATCAAGCGAGACACAAAAATAGGGAGATATACACATGCCAAAAGTGTCTTCCTTCCCCTGGTATGCAAGACATCCAGTGTAAATTCCAAATAAAAAAAGGATTCCTCACATATGGTGGGGTCTTCCAGATACTATTTGTGAATGATACTGTTTTAACAACAACAAACTCCAAAATACCACAAAACTTCCTAAATGACTTAATAAACATCCTAAAGAGTTCAACATAGTCATTAATACAAGAAAAAAATAAATGAAAAAAAATTCTTTTTGTCAACAGTATGATATATAGGCACATGGACAACTCAATATATGCATCTTGCATAGACACTGCAGATGGATAATGAAATGGGCCCAGAATTTATTAGGAGAACAGGCAGAGAGAAACTGTGCAGTGCTTTTAAAAAGGAAAGGATATTCCAATAAGACAAGACTATTTTGCACCCACCAGAAAATGCAGGACAGAACAGAACAATGTGTTCCAAAAAGCAATGGAGCTCAGGATGCAACCCATTCAAAAAAATAAAAAGGGATAATAAACAAGGAAACTACATTATGTTCAAAGTAATCTTAGACAATAAACCAATATCAGTAATAAACGTATATACCCCAAACGCCTTAGCATCCAAATTCATAAAGGAAATACTAATTAAAAGAGGACATTGACAATAACACAATGGTGACAGGAAATTTCAACATATTCAGTTTTGGATAAGACAACAAAAAGAAAAGCAAAAGGGAAACTTTAGAACTTATAATGAAACTAGAGCTAAAAGATCTATGTAATACGCACGCTGCGCAGCACCATGTGGAAATTTTACAAACAGTGGTCATGTACTAAGATACATAAATACTGCAAACAATATAATAAGGCAGAAATAGACAATAATTCAATAAAATAATCATTTGGTAACCGAAGATATAGAACCAAATGAAGACTTAACAATAAATTCTTAAACAGTGAGTAGGTCAACGAACATATGATAGAAACAATAATTATGAGAAAGAAAATTATAATTAAAAGACAACATATCAAAATTTCTGGGATGTAGCTAAAGCTGTCCTTACTGGAAAAACCATATTCTTACAAACATATTAACCCAAAAAAAGGGAGAGAATGATTAATGAACTGAATATGGATTTTTAAAAATTAGAATGCCAACAAATAAACTTAAAATAAGCTCAGAATATTAAAAATCAGAAAATAAATTAGACAAAGCCCATAAAAATGGTAAATAAAACTAAAAGCTGGTTCTTATGAAAAGAACAATAAAAATGACAAATCTTTAGCTTCTCTGCATAAAAAGAGGGCAGAAAATCAAATCAACAAAATATCAAATAAGCAAAGTAAAATCATAACAAAATCAGAAGAAAAATAATCAAAACATGTTAACACTGAAAACAAAACAGAGTAATATCTCTTTATATATTTATTTCATATTTTATTTTTCCCAATTACATGTAAAAACAATTTTTAACATTTCATTCTTTAAAATTTTGAGTTCCAAATTCTCTTTGCCCTCTTTCCTCCCTCCTCATTGTGAAGGTAAGCAATTTCTTACAGGTTATACGTGTGCAGTTAAGCAAAATGCATTTCCATATTAGTCATGTTGTGAAAGAAAACAGACCAAAAAGCCAAGAAAAATAAAGTTTAAAAAGTATACTTCATACATTCAGACACCATCAGTTCTTTCTGTGGGGATGGATGGCAGTTTTCATTGTAAATCCTTCAGAGTTCTCTGGGATCCATGTATTGTTGAGAATAGCTAAGTCACTCACAACTGATCCTTAAAATATTGATGTTACTTTGCATACAGTACATTTCACTTTGCATCAGCCCATGCAAGTCTTTTCAGGCTTTTCTAAGAGCATCTTGCTCATCATTTCTTATAGTACAATAATATTCCATCATAATTGTACACTACAACTTGTTCAGCCATTCCCCAATTGATGGGAATCCCCTCAATTTCTGATTCTTTGCCACTACAAAAAGAGCTGCTATAAATATTTTTGTATATATAGAGCCTTTTACTTTTTGTTTTTTATCTCTTCGGGATATAGACCTAGTAGTGATATTGCTGGATCAAAGGATACGCACAGGTTTATAGTCCAAATTGCTCTCCAGAAAGGTTGTATCAGTTCACAACTTCACCAACAGTGCGTTAGTGTCTCAATTTTCCCACACCCCCTCCAACATTTATCATTTTCCTTTTCTATCATATTAGCTAAACTGATAGAGATAGATTGGTACCTCAGAGTTGTTTTAATTTGCATTTCTCTAATCAATAGCAGTGATTTAGAGCATTTTTTTTCACATGACTATAGATAGCTTTGATTACTTTGTCTGAAAACTGACTCAGTTTTCTATGTTTGAAAAATGAAGTCTTTATCAGAGAAAGTCACTATAAAAACTTTTTCACAGTAATGACTACCAACTATGTATTTCCCTCCATCCTATTTTTATCCTACTCTCTCTCTCCTTTTACTCTGTCCATTCTCAAGTGTTTTGCTTGTGACTTTTATCTCTCATAACCTGCCCTCTTTTCTCTCAGCTCTGCCCATCTTTCTTTTAGCCCTTTCCCCTCCTACTTTTCTATATGGTAAGACAGATTTTTACAACCAAATGAGTGTCTATATTATTCCCTCTTTGGGCCAATTCCAATTAGGGAAAGATTCATGTGCTCCCTCCATTTTCCCCTCCACTATAAAATCTCTTTCAGGCCTCTTTCATGTCATATAATTTATCCCATTCTACCTCTCCCTTTCCCCTTCTTCCAGTGCATTCTTCTTTCTAATTCCTTAATTTTATTTTATTTTTAAGATAATCATGCCATCATATTCAACTCACACCTAAAAGGTTATAAATATCATTTTACCAGGTAGGAATATAAACAGTTTAATCTTATCAAATCCCTTATGATTTCTCTTTCTTGTTTACCTTTTTTATTCTTCTTCTGAGTCTTGTATTTGAAAGTCAAATTTTGTATTCAGCTCTAGTCTTTTCATCAGGAATACATATTCCAAACCCTCTAATCCTTTAATGTAGAACCTGCTATCTTGAACATGGATCCATGATATTTGAACTGTTTCTTTTTGGCTGCTTGCAGTATTTTCTCCTTGACCTGGCAGTTCTAGGATTTGGCTATAATATTCCTGGGAGTTTTCATTTAGGGATCTCTTGCAGGAGATAATTGGTAGATTCCTTTAATTTCTATTTTACTCTCTGGTTCTAGAATAACAGGGCAGTTTTCCTTCATAACTTCTTGAAAGATGATGTCTAGGCTCTTTATTTTTTAATCATGATTTTCAGGTAGTCCAGTAATTCTTATATTATTTCTCCTGGATCTATTTTCCAGGTCAGTTGTTTTTCCAATGAGATATTTCACATTTTCTTCTATTTTTTCATTCTTTTGATTTTTGTTTCATTTTCTTGATAGCTCATAAAGTCATTAACTTCCACTTGCCCAATACTAACTTTTAAGGAATTATTTTCCTCAGTGAGCTTTTGTACCACCTTTTCCATTTGGTCAATTCTACTTTTTAAGGAGCCCTTCAGTGAATTTTTGTATATCTTTTTTCCATTTGGCCAATTCTGCTTTTCAAGCATTCTTCTCATTATATTTTTGTGCCTCTTTTGCTGTTTGGCCTATTTTGTTTTTTAAGATGCTATTTTCTTCAGTATCTTTTGTCCCTCCTTTACCAAGCTGTTGACTTTTTTCATGATTTTCTTGCATCACTCTCATTTCTCTTTCCAATTTTTCCTCTACCTCTCTTGCTTGATTTTTAAAGTCCTTTTTTGAGCTCTTTCATGTCCTGAGACTAATTCATATTTTTCTTTGAGGCTCTGGATGAAGGAGTTTTGACTTTGTTGTCTTCTTTTGAGTGTGTGTTTTAATCTTCCTTGTCACCATAGTAACTTTCTATGGTCAGAATTTTTTCTGTTGTTTGCTCATTTTACAGACTATGTATTTACTTTTAACTATATGCTAAAGTGGCACTCTGCTTCCCAAGTGGAGCAGGGCACTGTCCCAAGCTTGAGGTTTTTGTACAGCTATTTTCAGAGGTAATTCTGGGGACCTGTATATTTTTGGTTCTTCCAAGGTGGTTTGATCTAGGGAGAGGTGTGTTTACTACTCTGCTGTACTGTTTCCTTTCTTGATGGGGTTACTAGAGTTTTGGACTGCTATAAATAGAACTTACTTTGATCAAAACATCATAGATCTAGAACTAGAAGAAGCCTAGACAAAGATCATCTAGTCCAACTCCCTCGTTTGACAGAGAAAAAAACTAAGGCACAGAGAGGCTGTGATTAGACCAAGGTCATACAGATAATAAGTGGCAGAGAGCCAAAATTCAAAGCCAGGTCCTCTGACTCTAAATCCAACATTCTTTCCACTGTATACTGTTTTCAGCAAAGCATGTAACAAAATTTCTCATGCTATCACCACATGTAAGAGAGAGGGATATGAGTGAGATACTAGTACAATTGATTCAGAACTGGTTAAATGACCAGACCCAAAAGAT